AATTATGCATAATGAAATGTTCTTTCCGAAAAATATAAGTTGCACAGCAATAAAAATGTTCTGTAAAAATTATAAAGCTTAAATTTTTTTCTTGCCAGCTCATACAGCAGCACAGCAATAGCAAGCACTATGTAGAGAGAGAGAGAGAGAGAAAAGACTTTATTGAACACAATGGGCCGGCTATTTCGTCTCGGTGGCTTTAGGTGGCGGCTCGAAGTCCCTGTACTCGGGCGGCATCCTGAGCCTGCTGGACGGCCCAGAGTTGGTCGTTCAGCTCGGGGCTTTGGAGGGCCGCCTTCCAGCGGCAGCGACGCCGACGCAGAAGGTCCCCCGTGGCTCCCGCAGCCAGGGCGGCGGCAGGAACGAGTGAGCTCGAGGCTCCCTGTGATTTGGTATTGACCGCCGCTATAGGCGCATCGCGATTGGTGGGGTATTCCCGACTGTCGTCGCCGGCACATTCCCAGAGCATGTGACTTAGTGTTGCTCTGTGCCCGCACGCTTTACATATATCGGCGGGGTATAGGTTCGGGTAGAGGTGGCGTAGAACGACCGGGCTAGGGTAGGAATGGGTTTGGAGTAAGCGAAAGCTAACGGTGGCAGGAACCAACGTCTTTCGAGTCTATAGTGTTGGGTGATGTCACGGAACATTGAAAGACGATCTCCCCATGACCATTCTGAATCTTGTTGCTGCGTGCATATCAAAGTGCCTTGATCCAGCAGATGCATCGCCCCGCTCCCGGAGTCGGAGGTGGCGGCCACGCAGTGGGCCGCGGCTCGGCGAGTGAGACCTCGAGTTGCGGCGTGGGCCGCCTCGTTCCCCACGAGCGGAATATGCTGGTGTGTGCCGGGGTGCATAGGAGGAAAACCGTTGGAATTCGGGGTTGTGAGCATGACGTCGAGTCGTCATCTCCGCACATTTGAAGGATGCGTGCCGCTTCCCGCGAGATACGGCCGCGCGCGAAACTGCAGACTGCCGCCTGCGAGTCGCTCATCACAATCTCTGCATGGGGCGCTGCGGCGAGTGCTAAGGCTATCGCGGCTTCTTCAGCCGCCTCCGTGAGTCCCGTCGTCACCGTGGCGCTCGCGAGACATTTGCCCTGATGGTCAACGACCACAGTTGAGTGGACCCTTCTCCATACCTCGCGGCGTCTATATATACCATGTCCGCACTGTTACCAAACTTCTTTTGAAGCTGTCTAGCACGCTTGTTACGCCATTCGATGTGGTGCATAGGGTGCATATTCCTAGGAATCGGCAGAACAATCAAGCGGCCGCAGACTTTCAAAACAAAGAAAATTCGGAATACACATACAGAAGATAACTGACCCTCGAATAGTGTAACAAATAATAAATATTGTTCCGAATATTGCTATCAACATACACAAAAATCAAAATGAGGCACTGCTTCACTGCTTGTGCCATGCGATGAAGCATTTACTGTTTTTTTTTTTTCCAAAAAAGGCACAAGGTGCAAAAATGCACTTTTATGCACATTTCATTTTTAATGAAAAAACCTTGTTGGTGTCTATGTAAATAAAAAATCCAATGAACTTCACCAGTTTCTCTGCAGTCACCTCCTTTCATGTGCCACCTCTCCGCCTAGATTGGCATTCCAAAATATGCATCCAAGCATGTTTATTCATACTTTTTCAGATGGTAATGATCATTTTTCCAGTGAAAAGAACCAGAGAACAAAATCGCGCACAGTCATAAAAAGTCTTGCACCCCTCGATAGTGAGGGTGCCACGAACGTCCTTCTTGGCAGGAAGAGAAGCTTTGCAGCCTCTGCCAGCACGTCATGCCCGAACAACATGCGAACATTACAGGTAACCAGAGTAGCCCTAAGATTGTGCACAAAAGTCATCAGCGATGCACAAGCAGCAGAGTCCACCTGAATTTGTAAACAAAACTAGCCCCTGAATAGTCCCAGACTCAATCGTAATTTATGTTGGCAACATGTGCCAGCAGAATTCCCAATGGGTCCACTGCGAGTCCATCACTGTTTATTTTCTGTGAAGGCGCGCTATTTGCATATGTTTTCTGTGTGGCTCTATTGCCTTCAGGTGTTTCGACTACCTTTCGGCTCTCCTTGCGATGGGAACAACGGCTCAGTACAATGGCTGTTTCAAGGGGTCTGCTATTTTGGTAGCTGAACCTTCGACGTGAGTGAGGCAATCATCTGCAGGCAGCTGCGCCTCTTTACACGACCAAAAAGATTTGTCTTGTCACAGCTGAGATGTTAGCAACTGGTTGTTGATTTCATCAAAGAACTGAAGTGGTTCTAAGAGGGAAAAGAAGAGAAAAGTGAGCCCCATAACTGTCTGCATCAGGGTGCGACACCTCAACAGTAGCTCACAAGGGATGGGGTTGGGGAGGGATTAAAAGGATAGAAATAAACGTGTAGAGAGAAAGAAAGAGAGATGCGCTAAGCCAGCGAGCGAAGGCATATCGAGGGGATAGGAGAGATAGGAAAGATGGAAACACGGTCACAGGAGTCCGAGGACGGGGCACCCCTTGCGAAAGCTCTTGTCGGCGTCAGTAGATGGCGTAGAGCAAGTCTAGGCGGTCAGAGCTACACTGTCGTCGAAGGTCGTCGGCGTCAGGAGATGACGTAGGGCGAGCCCAGTCGGCCAGAGCTACGCTGACGTCGGAGATCGCGAAGGCACAACCGGTCGGCACGGAATCCAGTGAGCGAGACTCATCAAAGAACTGTGCGGTTGTCTTATAGCAGTTAGCGTTGATTCAAAGTCAGCAATGTCGATTGGCAGGTGAGAGACCAAGTTCAACATAGCATGTAGATGAGTGTGAAATACCACATTCTGAAAAAAGAGTAAAAATCTGCATATGGTGCTTTCTTTTTTAGTTTTTGTAATAAACAAGTTTGACCGTCGAATATATGCGGATCCCAAGAATTTTCAGTCAAGAATTTGTGGTTTCAGTATTGGCATTGCTCCGCGCTATTATCATCACTAGGCGTTACGTAGTACTAGCATTAGTCCTACCCTGACGGCCACAATTACACGCAATGTGAGAACCGTGAAAGCAGTATTTGGCTGCCCTTAAAGATGATCTAACCAGCCAAAACCATTAGCAACTGTGCTGGGGTGTGCCAGTTTGGCGTCGATGAGAGAAGCATTCGCAGTTGGCAAAAATGGAAGGAAGCCATCTTAGTGTGCAGCAGCCTGAAAAGAAAATTCCACCAGTCGAAAAATAAAGCGTTTTACGGTGTTGAACAGGAACTGAGACTTCGTTTGGGAGCAACAGAGTGCTGCTGGGGCTCCCATTGATTCTCGTACTAGATAGGTTTCGGAATAACCTTTGTGAAGCACCTGCTGCGCGGCTCCTGCACGCGGAGTGCATCATCGCCCTGGGAGGACGTTCCACCTGCAGCTACTTGATGTGTGCCTAAATAAACCAAGTGAGGATCACACCCAGCGCATGTACTTGAAGTGGATGAGGTTCAGAGGGTCAGATGTGACTACTGCTGGATAGGATGAAACGGGCCACGCCAGCGATGTTGTGCATATGGATCGCCGAAGCTTCAGTTTGCATTCCCAAGGCGCTCATTTATGGCGCCTTCAAGCAGTGCTCCATTTCAAGTGCCCTTGGTGGCACTGAAGATGATGTGCCGTGGGAAGACATCCCTGACGAGGAATTTTCGAAATAATGTTCGTCAGATGACAGTGAACAAGTGTGTAAATAAACATATTTAGTTTGTGTTTTGCTTAGGCTAAATTAAGGTGGAAACATTTTTCTCGTATTTCCTATCCCTGAAACACACCTCAGACTATATGCTGATCCGAGATACAGCTGGGTTTTTACGGTATGTCCTATTATCCAAAAATTGTTTTTGTGGCAATTCATCCGCTCTGTATATGCCTTAATCGCATGCATATCCAGGTCGTACCAAAACAAGCTTTCTCCCCATGGAGTAGCTTCAACGGGCCGAAAAAGTCATGTCTGAGAACCGGATATTTCCCGGTTTTCGGTGAGTGGAAAACTTTGCTGGTCAACATCTGCTGCCTTTCATAGCAGCACTCCCAGTCACAGGCCTTCAGCATGCAAAAGGACACGACGTAGCTATTTTCACCGTGAAAAACAACTTTCACTTGACACTCATAATAACAACAGGGCATCACCAGTTGCAGGGCAACAAATTACAATGCACATGGAGGCCGCAAAGGCGTCCTACAAAAACTTGTGCTCCGTCTGATTTTTTCTGATGCGAAACCATTGCCAATGTTACGTTTGAGTGTGCAGGTAATTTTTAAACTCGAGTTATATATAGAACTATGTGCCCTGAAATATATTTTCAAAATTTGAGAATAAGAATTCATTTCCACCTCTTTTAATGAAATAATGTTGCTGTTCTCAAAAATAATTTATTCTACCTTCCTTGAAGAGGCACAAGGTCTTGACATGGGACTTCATTGGATGCGACACTGCCTCTGCGCAAAGCTGGACTTAATCCAGTGGTTTGTACTTATTTTTTTTTGGGAACCCTGAGTGTCCCTGCCCGTATTCTTAGTTTTTCGATTATACGAAGATTTTGCATGGTCCCCTGAAAATCATAAAATCGGGGTTCTACCATAAAGTTCATTTCTGTCTGCCTATATTAGGTTGAAAACTTCTTCCTTGCGTTTGCTATCCCTGAAATACACCTCGAGTATATGCAGGTTCAGACAATACCTGGGTTTTTACGGCTAATGCTCTTTATCATGCCTCCGCTGGCCTCTCATTACATTGGTGCTATTTTTTTTTCTGGCTGAATCCAACAAAAACTTGTTCCTGAAGTTACTTTCACGTTTTTTTTTTTTCTTTAGACTACCTGGACCGGACAAACAGTCACCCTTTGCATTACAATAAAAAAAATAGGGTGCTTTTTCTATGAGCGAATTTGAACATCGGAGTGGCTCAATCAAACAGGGAAGTGAACAAATCTCGATAGGAGTGTCCAACCGATCAGCCCATCAGAGGTGATGGAAGGAGCTTGCACTCACCTCAGACACTCCTAGTTGGCGGCAAGCATTGAGAAAGTTCTCCACATTGCGTCGGCATTTGGCAAGGGTCAACTTGGGCTGGCAATGAAAAAGAGAAGTGTGTCAGGACTAATTCGAAGAGGTCGTGAAATAAAAATTAAACTTCCCTTTGTAATTTTCCCTCCTTCAATAAAGATTACACATACCAATTCTAAAATATTTGGCACAATATCGAGTCTGTAAATAATGGTGCCCGTTTGAAATCTTAGTTTTTGTGAGCTCACTAGCGGTTCTTAATAAGGTCTACGCAAATTCTGCATACAAACCGTATTCTTAGCTAAATGGCAACAGCCGTACTTTGTGACAGTGACGTGCAATCACTGCGAAGCAACGTTGGTCCTGGCTTAAACCCCAAACCAGGACGAATATTTGGTCAACTACGACGGTTTTCTTTATGGGAAATATGTACAGATTTCCTTGTGGCTTCGTGCTACAAACAGGTGATTGTCTTCTTTCTCTTTCTCAAGGTTGTATTTAGCGTGTTGATCTTTAGTGACGCATTTGATTCGACTGACGATATCAAAGATGTAAAAGCAGTTCGTTCAATAAATGTTTTTGTTGAGTTTTGTTCGACCGTGTTTACTGTCTCCGTGTGTTCCGAAAGCAAAGTTCATCAAAAGAACCCACAAACTCATGGACACTTTTCAGTCAACACAGCTTGTTTTCAAAGGGGCCTTTGAAATGAGTGTGACTTACAGATATACTACATTAATTTCCTCTACAGTGAAACAAATTCCATGGCATTTTCAAGGACTACAAGGAGTTCATGGGCACAGTCGACATCCGATATCCTGGACCCTCAAAGGACCGCGAAAACCTCCTGAGTATCGGGCAGTTCGGAAAAACGAATGCAAGCGAAAACACACTTTTTAATAGGTATTTTTCCCTGACGGAGAGGGTTGCGGCACGAGTACAGGGTTCTCGTTGCAATTCAGCAAATGCATCATTTAAGTGGCTCTGAAGAGAACGAAAGAAAAAAAAAGTTTCACAGCATATCCACAGAGTGATTGATGCTGAGTGGAGTGAAGCGTTCGTCCATCCATTCATGTGTGCATCAGTGTCCGTACATTAGTTCATCTGTTTGTCTGCTCGTCCCTGTGAGCGTGCGTCCGCCCGATCATCCGTGTGTCCATCCATGTTACATTTGTCCGCCTGTCTGTCTGTGTATTTGTCTGTCTGTCTGTACGGCAACAAGCACGAGCTGCCACGGCCCTCCGTGCCCGCCGCTACGTTTTGTCTCCAACATGTACGGCAATGATCCAGGAGAATGCGAGAGGCACTTGTTCCCAGCGCACTCAGGCACAGCCAATGCAGCAGCCAAAGAAAGAGTAGCGGTACAGCGCCATCTAGAATATCCTCACTCAACTGTAGTTTGTATGTACTTCTATGAGACAGCGCCATCTATTATACTGTCCGGGAGATATTGCCGGATACGCCTGATGCGAGACAAGGTTAGACTAGTAGGAACTTCGTTCCTGAAATCCGATGTGGCTGGCACTACCGCATTTATAAACGCTTAGGGGCAAAAACAAAAAAGTCACTTATTTTTGTTTGCACGGCATTCCACTTGCCCACGATGATGTATGCCTCAAATTCAGTTAACCTCATGCTGTCACTGTATACTAATAACAGTGTCAGTGCTTCCATCGACTCCGAGCTCATTGGCTGTGCAGGCGATGCCTGTTCGATCTCTGTGTTAGAGTTATCGAATCTGCCGTAACTTAATAAATCATTTCGTCATCGGTCAATTTCGCACACAGTGCGAGGCCTTTATCAGCATCAACGAAGCTCTCGAGAGTTATCCCATCTGGAATCGTAACATTGGCAACATGCAGATCGTCGAAGGCAACATCCGCGGGTGGAAGTTTGTCGCACACACTGTCTACTCTGGGCGAGGCGGCCGTCTCGGTGTCCAGAATGAAGCTCGCGTGGCGAAAACAGCTCCAGGTGATCTGTTCCGTAACCGGCTTCCACGAGTCTGCAATCCTGCCTACGGCAGACCATAGGTCAGCAGCGTGGCGTTCCAACTGTTAGAGCACATGCTGCACAGCACCATGCGGCTTAAGCTACGGCTGGCAACGAATTGGCGTGCACTGGATTGCGACATTTTAGGTTTTGAGGGTACAGCGGCCGCGGCGCGGTGGATTCGAATGTCCGAAAACAAACCAAAATGGCGGCGTTAATGGTGACTTCGAGTCTGTGGTTAGAGCAAAAAATCTAGAAAATCAGATGGCGAAAGCTACAAATGTCTAGAATTTCAGACTTTTTATTACATTGAATCTAAGGGAACTCGAGTGTATTCAAGGAGTGTCAAGGGCTCTTGAACTGATATTGTCAATATCAAGGATATTCAAGAATTTCAAGCGGTTGTACGAACCCTGTGCTGCACCGTTTTAAGAGCCCGGTCTGGAGCACACTGCTCACATCCAGGACAATCATAAGTGATTCTTAAAAAAAAAAGCAATCGATATTGGGAACATACATACATTTATTGTGGCGCAGAAAGAAAAACATAGAAATGAAAGTACCCCAGCCCGTCGACGGGCGTTAGATACAAAGGCATTGAGAAAGGGTGCGTGCATGAGTCTCGAAAGGCCTTGTTCCTAAAGTGTCAAATATGGCACAGCTCACCATGGCGGCCGAGGGCACGTGAATGGAGGCGACTGATCGTGGCTGCACTTGGTTGGCAAGATGGCACAGAACCACTCCGTCCACAAGTGATGGGCCAATTTCTGCTGGCAACTGGACCTTCAGCCGGCTCTCAATCACCTGCACAGCGCAACACTGTGCTTTTCCGTTCACAATAACGGGCAGGTTCTTTAGTGTGGCAACCTATGGTTTTCCTAGAGCACTCTTTGCTGGGAGGGCCAATCTGTGATTGTGCATCGCGGTTTGGCAGCTCACGTCCCAGGCATGGTTTTTTTCTAGGAGACGTTCGATTTGAGAATGCAAAAATAAGGGTGTCATGCACCCTTACTTTTACGTGGGGTACACCCCACTTAAAAAATCATTCTTAATTTATGGATGAATTTTGATCAAACTTTCATCCTTCATGTACGTTGACATGCTGATTTCAAATATACAATTACTTTTTCTGTGCAACAAGTACTTTTCAAAATATTGATAAATTCGTGTTTCTTGCATTGACTAACTTGGAGGTGAGTTTTCTCTTAAATGCTAGTATTAAAAGAACACAGTGGCATATGAAAACGATGTTGTATAGTGAGAGCTTGCAGTGCTACAAGAATGAATGCTCTAGATTGATTTGGGCCAAAGTTATAGCATGTCAAACTTTTGTAAGTGAAATGCTTTAGTAACCCCTTGGAAAAATTATTACTTTTTGAAAACATCTCTCATGTTATTCGTTCAAATTTTATGCCTACTGCCCTCCCCATTTGTCCTCTTTTCTAACAAAACAAGAGTCACTGCGATAAGATAAGTACCACCAGAAATATCGTCACTCCAAAACTACACCATGGTCAAAAACGCAGTTTTGAGAAAACGAGAAAAAACATTTGAGGATAAGTTGGAAATAATTATAGAAATCTCTTGAGCACTAGAGTGATTGAGGATGATATAGGGGTTCAATCAGGCAAGAATCTAATAAAATAAGGGCATCTGAAAATTTATTTGTAAAACCCAATAATAACTTTAAAAATTATTTTTATAAATATTTTTCAATAATACGTAACTATGTACTAGGCCTACTGCACTTGTCAATTCACCACCTTTCTGACAAAACAAGAATTATTGAGATTGGTTGACGAGAACCAGAGATATTGTTGCTCCAATATGACACCATCAGAAATGCCCCTTTGTGAAACCAGGTAAAAAAAAAATGCTTTTTTATTGTGCAGCCCCCACCGCGACAGTCTCATCGTCGCGAAAACATCGTTCATGAATGTCTGGCCATTCCCACTACAGAACATTGGATAAAACGTTTGTCTGGAACGCATCGCACGACTTTTTACCATCGACTCTGTGCAAGTTCCATGCCATCGTCACTTCGCCACAACAGTAGCACTTCACTATCAGTTTCTTAGCGAGGCCTTTGCACCATGAGAATCGGCGAGCAGCCAATTCAGGATCTCCAAGTCGACCATCAAATATGAAGCTGCAGTGTTCGCGGCGGAGCCCAATATGACACGTCGTTTGCATTGGTGAAAACCGCAGTCTCTCGCGCTGTCGCCAGTATCGACTCAAGTCGTTCAGGCATGACCTGCTCACTAGCACTTACTTGGGCTATGTCGCTGCTCATGACAGCGACAGTGTGAACTCCCACAAGGCTAGAGTCGGCACGAAGAATGCCGTTGTTCTCAGGCAAATCACTGCCAGTTGCATCATCGCGGGTTGCTTTCTTATCACTTGTAAAGCCGGACAACGGCATGCTCTTATCTTGCGCACTACTACAGTCAAATCCCTTCATAACGAAGTCTGCTTCAACGAAATTTTCACCACAATGAAAATTTTTGCGTTCCCTGTAGAAGTCCCATACAGTTTAATGCTTCGAAATTCCCTCCAGTACGAACTTCTTCACGGCTGCGATTCCACTTCAACGAAGTTTTTGTGGAACAACCACGAGCAAAATTAGTTGAAGTAGAGCTTATAAAAAAGCTCAAATGTGTTTTTAATGCCTTGCCAAACCACGGACCTTAATAACATAAAATAATAGCATATGAGAAGCTGCTCGGAGCAAACACAGCGCAACCAACGTACACTTTTGCAACATAAACAAAGCAGCATGCCGTGATATATGATAATGATGATGAGTGATGGCGATGCAAGCGCTATCTCAAGTAGGTTAAAGAAAAAACCTGTTGAATCGTGTCTGCGTACAAACAGCATGCAATAATTTCATTTTTTAGTATTTTAATTGTATTTATGAAGTTTTTGAATCTGTTTTCATTGTCAGGAGTTGCTGCTTTATGTACGTACCAAAATTGAAAATTGTGAGCCAAATCCCGGTAGGGTGCGACGAGGCGTTCGGGCGATGACTTCCAGTGCTTTCGGTTTGACTGGCTTGCACAACGAGCGGTTGCAGGCCTTGCGGTCATTGTTTCCCGAAAGTGTGTTGTCGCAAATCAGCCATGTCTCAGCTGGCGAAGAAGCGCAAGTTTTTGTCGCTCGAAGACAAGGCTCGCATTATCCCCAAGGCTGACGCTGGGAGGAAGAAGTTGCAAATCGCTGAAGAGCTTGGGATGGCGGCGAGCTCTGTTTCAACTATATTGAAGAGCAAGGACACCATAATCAAAGTTCTTTCTTCGGGAACGTCGGCGAAACAAAAGAAGGAAGTTGACGCAGCCAACGCACAAAGCTTTAGATAAGGCTGTCTACACTTGGTTTGTTGATGCGTGGGCCAAAAAAAAATGGCCCTTAGCGGCGATATTGTGCGACAGAAAGCGCTGGATTTTGCCTGCGTGCTCGGCATCGGCGATTTTAAAGCCAGCGTAGGTAGGCTGAACCGTTTCAAAGTCCGCCACAATATGATCGGCAAAGTTTTGTGCGATGAAGCTGCTTCGGCGGATACAGACGGTGCTGCCGCTTGGACGTCGGCCAGCCTCGGGAGCATCTTGACGGACTACGCACCGTTGGATATATATAACGCCGATGAGACGAGCCTTTTCTACGAGATCCTTCCTAACAAGACTTTGGACTTCAAGGGGCAACGCTGTCACGGAGGGAATCACAGCAAAAGATGGATAACCGTGCTTCTGAGCGCCAATATGGATGGCTCAGATAAGCTGCCTCTTTTGGTTATTCGGAAAAGTGCGAAACCGCGCTGTTTCAAGAGAAATCGGCACCTTCCAGTGAGGTACGTGGCCAACAGCAGGGCTTGGATGAACTGTGCAATTTTTGGCGACTGGGCCAGAGAATTCGACTGGGACATGGGCAAGCAAGGCTGAAAAGTGCATCTGCTTTTGGACAATTGTTCCGCGTACGCCATTGAGGACGTGAAGCTTGAAAACGTGCAGTTCAAGTTTCTGCCCCTGAACTGCACGTCCATCATTCATCTGCTTGACCAAGGGGTCATCCAAAGTATGAAAAGCAATTACCGCAGGCGTCTTATTCAGAGGCTGATTTTGAACACTCGTTTGGGGCGTGAGACGAAAATCGACCTGTTCATGGCGCTCCAAATGATTGCTGCTTCGTGGTGCGAGACGGGGAGTGCCATAGTTGCGAACTGCTTTCGTCATGTCGGGTTCGCTGTGGAGAGGGCCGAGACTTCGGGTTCTGCAGTTGAAGCTTGCGACGAGAACGACTTGCCTGACGAAGAAATCGCAGTCGCATGGGCAGACCTACAAGAAGGTAATGTGCCTGCCGATGTGGATCTCAACGAGTTCCTCCAAGCAGACTCTGACTTGGTGGTGCGCGAGGAAATCACTGACGAAGACATCATAAAGGGAGCACAAGAAGAGAGTGCTTCGTCAGATGAAGATGAGATAACCGCGCAACCCGATCCCATGCTACCATCGACTTCGTCGGTGCTGGACGCATTCAACATCATCAGGCGTTGCATCGGGGCGCAGGACAATGACGAAGCAATGGCTCTGTTGGCGGCGTGGGAAAGTCGTGTTGTGCCATCGCTTGGCAAGGAGCGAAAACAGGCAAAGTTGACCGATTTCTGGAATTAAAGCTTGTTTTTGAATAAGCGAGCCGAGTGTCGCGTATGTATTTTACCATATCGCAACAACGAATTCCCGCGACAACGAAATTTTTCGCCCGCCCCCCTCAATTTCGTTGTAGCGGGATTTGACTGTATTACCTGCGACGACGGTGTCGGATGCCCCAGCACTGCGAGTCGCTTGCTCATCTGTTGCAGAGCGGTGCGCTACCGTGTCTTTGTGGAGCGGACCGCCCAATCACTTCCATTGCTGTTATCGAATGCAAAAGCAACGCTAGCTTTCCGATCGCTTACAGAAACCCGTGATGTCGTGTCGCTAGCCCGTTTTTTTTTCATTTTGGCTCGCCTTCGGCCGATCTCATACACAGAGTGGAACTTTCTCGGTCCTCCAAGCACGTTCGTCGTAGGATCGTAACCTAAGCTAAAATGGAGCCTCAACGAGCCATGTTTTCAAATACAGCGCCCTAAGCCAACCAGAGGACGACATTTTAGCCACGTGTTCGGAAGTGGCCAATGACAACGTTTTATGCCTACTTTCTTTTTCCTCTTTATTTAAGAAAGTGGCAAGCTCAGTGTTACCCTACCGAGCAATACAAAAAGCCAAAAGTGAGAGCTTTTCAACGATACCAAAATGGCCGCATTGAAGTGGGCCGTTCAAGAGTTAAAGGCAGCTGAAACAAGCGCGATTTGTCCACAATTTAAAGGACTGGGGGCGTGCCAGCGCATCTTTGATTTACTGTTATGCCGCTAATACGTAGAATTTTGAAAACAAAACTTGCACACAGGTGCACGAGGTAGAAAGAATACGAGAATGACACTTAAAAAAAATTAAATTTTTTTGGCAAATTTCCGGGTCCCAAGAGCTGTGTCTCCCCTTAAGTGTTTTGGAATAACCTATTCAGCGATTATTTTGAATGCTAACAAATAAAAAAATACCGCATGCTGAAAATTCTACTTTCTGAAATAACACTATTCTACACCCATGTGGCCATCTGAAGCACTGGTCAACAAATGTTTTGACTTAAAACAGTGCTTCAATGTTCAAGATTCACATTGTTGCCTTGCATCTTCCTAAGACGGCTCAAAGGTGAAAGGAGATTCTTTTTCACTTCAATCGAATGTAGTCCTGGGTGCAACATAACATCAA